GGGGGGCATCTTAAAATGAGGGGGCCTCTCTACATCACATGCAGGCTATAAAGTCTATATTAAATGTGCACATTTTTAAGTGTTTGTGCGTAGTGTGGAAGCCAAATAGCAGCGCACTTTACATGGAGGCACCGGTGATCACTTGCACTTAAAATACAGAATTAGACTTAGAATAATTACATCGTTCGAAACTGTTAAGGGTCTACATTTGTTTGTGTACACTCACAATAACAACAATAACAACAAAATAACAACCAAACAAATTGTGCGCTGTAAAATAATGATGCCAAACAGAATACTCTATTTCTGCCATCTCGGTCCCAGTGAACTTGAGCCAGTCGAAAATTAACCGAAACTCTGTTGCCTTACAGACATGAGAAATAGCCTATCTATAAAACGTGAAATGTTTTAATAATGAACCAATTCAGATCGAAAACAGATATTCTCAGATTATGTATGTAATCCATTGCCTATTTAAAGTTTATACTGCGTGTCCACCACAGAGATGACGATTAAGCATCGTTATATATCTGCTGAGACCTCAACCATCTCAGTGTTTGTGCTTTTGGTTATGGTGTTGGTGGAAGTCTGCAGTGGTTTTTAGTAAAGTGAGATAACTTTGGAAGGAAGTGTCGTTGGTTCCCATCCAACACACTCTCATGGCAATTTGTAGATATTTTACTCTTTGTTGAATTGGCTGCTAATTCATACAATCATCTCATTCGTATGTTTTCATATGATCTGCTGAGGGTTAGTTTTAGGGGTGGACCTTCATATTTCCACTTTTTCCTTAAAAAAATAATATGTTTCCACCAGTGGCGTAGCCAGAATTTTAATTTGGGGGAGGGGGGGGGGGGCATCTTAAAATGAGGGGGCCTCTCTACATCACATGCAGGCTATAAAGTCTATATTAAATGTGCACATTTTTAAGTGTTTGTGCGTAGTGTGGAAGCCAAATAGCAGCGCACTTTACATGGAGGCACCGGTGATCACTTGCACTTAAAATACAGAATTAGACTTAGAATAATTACATCGTTCGAAACTGTTAAGGGTCTACATTTGTTTGTGTACACTCACAATAACAACAATAACAACAAAATAACAACCAAACAAATTGTGCGCTGTAAAATAATGATGCCAAACAGAATACTCTATTTCTGCCATCTCGGTCCCAGTGAACTTGAGCCAGTCGAAAATTAACCGAAACTCTGTTGCCTTACAGACATGAGAAATAGCCTATCTATAAAACGTGAAATGTTTTAATAATGAACCAATTCAGATCGAAAACAGATATTCTCAGATTATGTATGTAATCCATTGCCTATTTAAAGTTTATACTGCGTGTCCACCACAGAGATGACGATTAAGCATCATTAACTTCATCACAATCTATCAGAGTAATAAGCAATCAGAAATCTGGGGGGCTCCCACCCCAGGCCCCCTCGTGGCTATGCCACTGGTTTCCACATACTATTATGATACAAATTAATACAAAATCGCCACCATGTAGTTATATTTTCTAATGAGACTGGGTTGTTGATATGTCTTTGACTGAGTTAATTAATTGATGTGGTTTTCATAATCCCTCAGTTTACAATAAAATAGATGCTAATGAACTAATTAATGACAACAGAACCTCCTCTAACAACAACAAAAAAAAACTCATGTTTTGTTTCGAACTGATATGTTGTATTGTATTGTTTGACTGTGCCCTTTCATCACTCAGACTTAAATGTGGAAGCATTCCAATACACGTATTGTAAGTCACCAGTAAAAGATGTTATCTTGTCACAGAAGCTTTCCAAGTGCTCTTGGAATGATCAGGTGATGAGGAAATATGTGTGTTGTGGACTCATCGATGGGATCAATATTAAATGTGCACATTTTTAAGTGTTTGTGCGTAGTGTGGAAGCCAAATAGCAGCGCACTTTACATGGAGGCACCGGTGATCACTTGCACTTAAAATATAGAATTAGACTTAGAATAATTACATCGTTCGAAACTGTTAAGGGTCTACATTTGTTTGTGTACACTCACAATAACAACAATAACAACAAAATAACAACAAAACAAATTGTGCGCTGTAAAATAATGACGGCAAACAGAATACTCTATTTCTGCCATCTCGGTCCCAGTGAACTTGAGCCCGTCGAAAATTAACCGAAACTCTGTTGCCTTACAGACATGAGAAATAGCCTATCTATAAAACGTGAAATGTTTTAATAATGAACCAATTCAGATCGAAAACAGATATTCTCAGATTATGTATGTAATCCATTGCCTATATAAAGTTTATACTGCGTGTCCACCACAGAGATGACGATTAAGCATCATTAACTTCATCACAATCTATCAGAGTAATAAGCAATCAGAAATCTGGGGGGCTCCCACCCCAGGCCCCCTCGTGGCTATGCCACTGGTTTCCACATACTATTATGATACAAATTAATACAAAATCGCCACCATGTAGTTATATTTTCTAATGAGACTGGGTTGTTGATATGTCTTTGACTGAGTTAATTAATTGATGTGGTTTTCATAATCCCTCAGGTTACAATAAAATAGATGCTAATGAACTAATTAATGACAACAGAACCTCCTCTAACAACAACAAAAAAAAACTCATGTTTTGTTTCGAACTGATATGTTGTATTGTATTGTTTGACTGTGCCCTTTCATCACTCAGACTTAAATGTGGAAGCATTCCAATACACGTATTGTAAGTCACCAGTAAAAGATGTTATCTTGTCACAGAAGCTTTCCAAGTGCTCTTGGAATGATCAGGTGATGAGGAAATATGTGTGTTGTGGACTCATCGATGGGATCAAGTGGTCCGCATGTGAGCTGTCATGCAAAAAGATATATTATCTTAAAACAACACATGATCCATATGGCCACAGCCGAGGACATAGAATTCCTATAACTGGAGGTTCCTAAATCCCCTCACCTTAAAACTTCACAGCACCTCCGAATCCCGGTAGCATTCCTAACCCCTGCCATTGTGAGAACATGATTCCACATTCTTATGTTTGATTTGCTGATGTTCTACTGCCCCTATAAGCCTCTGCAGTATGGCCTTGGGCCCCCAACCAGTCTGTTTTTCAGCTCTGGGGTTAAATCAGAATTATAAATAGTCATTTGTATTTGAATTTATTTATTTTTGTAACACTTGTTAACACTTATAATGCTATAAAATAACTATAACATATATAGATTTGTCAAATAACATTTAATCAATACATGATTTTTTTCATTATTATTATTTCATACACTCTAATAAATGCTGGGTTGTTTCAACCCAATGTTGGGTCTAATATGGACTAACCCAATTGTTGGGTTAAAAAGCTAATTTAAAAATGTAACCAAAATTTAACCCAACAGTTGGGTTAGTCCATATTTGACCCAACATTGGGTTGAAACAACCCAGCATTTTTTAGAGTGTACTCTACATGTTTCTAAACAGGTTTGTATGTATGCATGTATGCATGTGAGTGGGCAGGAAAGAGTGGGTTGTCTGTGTATATCATAACTCTGAGTATGGCCATTTATTTTGGTGCGGTGCCTGTTTGGATCCACAAAAATTAAAATCATCACTGTATCAATAATAACTAAGGCAGCTGTTGCGTGTGCTGCACACATGCAATCATTTGCCAGAGAAGCCGTTTGCCAAGGTTAGTGGGTTAGAGCTCTGAATCCTTACAAGCCTTCAATGATACTGCACATATACACTTGGTAACACCCTGTAAATAACCCTTATTAGAGACACCTACAAAGCCAATGGCTAAATTTAACTACACATCAGACCTGTCAATACAAACACACATACAGTCACTGATCCAAGTATTTATTCATAATTAATATTATTACTAGTTTTTTTGTTTTATTTTTTAATCATGGACAGCTGTTCCATAAAAGAGTTTAACACCACCATTGGATTTATACTGCTATTAATAAGGGTGTCATATTGTGGGGGCTGCTGTCTCAAATAATCTGAGAGGACTCCACTATATCCATGACTTAACAGCCTACAGCACGGCTACTGCTGCACCCTGTCCAAATGTCCCACACCCTACAGAGAGCTAAAACTGATCTTTGGCTGACTCGTGATTTCCCTCTCTGCTCTTCAATCCAGGCTCACCAGAGTAACCCAACTATGTATTTTAATTAACTTTTTCTAATACATTTAATATTCTAAAATATCTTAGTGGCATTAAAAGACATTTTAAAAGTTGAAATATTCTAAAAGATTCTTGTCTATCTATCAGACTTCGATTATGAAAAACTAAGTAAACTTATATAATTCATACACTCCATGGTTGAGTACACAGTGCATAGTGTATAGTGCATCATTTGGGATGCAGCTTATGTAACTTTTTAAAAACTGCATATTACTTAAGGAGGAATAAATAAATAAATGATAAATAAATAAATAACAAAAGAAAGAAAAAGATGGATTTGGAAGAAAATGCCTTAAAGCTACGATCACAGACAAATGATGGAAGTATGCAATTTCCTGGGAGATTCATCCAGAGAACTCTAAAATTGAAATAATTTTACATAAAAAAAACAATAAAACAGTGTATATGTTATTCACTGAAAGCTATAAATTATAAAAAAATTATATTAGGACTAACTATAGTAGGACTGAGAAGGCCTAATGGAAGCGTTACCATTTTGTGACAACCATTTGTGACAACTAGAGTGTGGCACTTTACAATGGCAATAATGGTGGACATGTTATGAAGCTTTTTTTTGTATGCAGGACTTTAGTACATATATATGTGCCTAAACACAACCTGAATTAAAAAAAAAAAAGAAAGAATATCTTACTGGAGTAGGCCTAAAACGTCTGACAAGTAGTCTCCCTTACTATAATTGACAGTAAGGCCACGTCACACTTCTTTATTGCTTTTCTCACGCGCTGAATAGACTATGCAGTCATGCAGTCGTGCACCTGTTGCCCACCCGCGTGTCAGTGGTCGCAGGTCAGGCCTGGAGTCTGGAGCTACTGGCGAGTCGCGACGTCCATTCCAGAACGGAAGCCGCGCGTTCCTGCCTCATGCAGTCATCGCTTGCTCGGGATTCAGTAGATGATCGGAAAGGATGAATGAAGGTGTCTCGCGCCATTGGAATTTTGTGGGCGGTGAAAGAGTGGAAGAGAAAGTAAGGAACATGATCTAACTTTTTTATGGACCGCGCCAGACTCTGGAACCGTGTATAGGCTATATATAAGGGAGGTGATGGAGAGATGATGCACAGATCATCAGGGAGCTGAGCAGGCAACACCGATTGCTTTGGGAATCTATTAACCACAGAGACAACTACATATCCCCACTGACAGCCTTACTGCAAAACGCGCAACCGACGAGAGCTGAAGACACAAACTTCCAGATCCCAGACATCATGGGGCTGCTGCGTGTTGAAGAGCTGGTAAGTTTTGTGCTGATGCATGCAGTGCTTTCTGGGAGTCTCATCTGAATGTTGACATGTTATCAGCTAACTTCAAGATTTATATTATTAGAATTTTGTGCAAGATAAACGTGCAAAAATCCCATGCAAATGCGTGTGTTTACTTAGAAAAGCACATACACAAATTTAACAAAGCTGTTTATGCTGAAATGTTGTAAGACAAAACGAAACTTATTAGCTATAAAGATATATGATAAAGAAAATTGGGTTGCACTTTATTTTAAGGTGACCTTGTTACAGTGTAATTATACATTTTAGTACTGAGTTACATTAATTAACTTCATGTACTTAATATATTTTTAGGGTTAGGGGGAATGCATAATTAGTTTTTATTGTAATAGTAAGTACATGTAACTTGTGTAACAAGGACACCTTAAAATAAAGTGTTATCGAAAATTGTTATCTAAAGTTATAGGATACAGTTGAAATACAGCAATTCTAATTAAAAAATTTTTATGAAATGCTAAAATGACTAAAACTGACATAAATTAAACAAATATAAAGCTAAAAGAAAATAACAAAAACTAAAACTTAACTTAAAATTTAAATAATAAATAAAAAATATAAAATTAAAAGCGAATTAAAAATATGAATATGCTGTAATAGTATATCAGTAATACTAAATCGATCTATGAGTACGTCATGATCTATGGTGTTGAACGCGGCACTAAGATAAAGTAAAACTAGCATTGAGATGCACCAATGAGATGCAGCCTTGGTCTGACGTAAGAAGCAAGTCATTTGTAATTTTAACAAGTGCAGCTTTTGTGCTATGGTGGGGCCTGAAACCTGACTGCAATTCTTCATAGAGATCATTTTTTTTGCAGGAAGGAGCACAAGTTAGCAGACACAACTTTTTCTAAAAAAGAGGAGGGGAGGGGGGGGCACCCTGGAGGCTGGTGCAGGACAGGAATAGGGCAGAGACCAGGAGAGCCTCCTGGGCAGATCTGGTAGTTCAGGGGGCCATGGCGGATCAGGAGACTCATGGGGCCATGGCAGAGCAGACAGTTCGGGAAGCCATGGCGGATCAGGGAGTTCAGGTTGCCATGGCGGACCAGGAGACTCAGGGGGCCATGGCGGATCAGGAGACTCAGGGGGCCATGGCGGAGTAGACACTTCGGGAAGCCATGGCGGAGCAGGCAGTTCAGGAGGCAATGGCGGATCCTCCGTGCCTTAGCTGGCTCGGCCATGGGTATATGGCCCCCCCAAAAAAAAATTCTTGGGGAAAACTAGGAATCCTGGGGGGGCTCTGGAGGATTGGGCTCTGGAGGGTGCTCTGGAGGAGCGGGCACAGGAGACTCAGGGGGCCGTGGCGGATCAGGAGACTCAGGGGGCCATGGCGGATCCTCCGTGGCCTTAGCTGGCTCGGCCACGGGGATATGCCCCCCCAAAAAACTTTTCTTGGGGAAAACTAGGAATCCTGGGGGGCGCTCTGGAGGAGCGGGCACTGGAGGGCGCTCTGGAGGGGCAAGGCTGGTTAACTCGGGGGAATCAGGAGACGAAAGAGGGCTGGACGGGACCAGCGGAGATGAAGGAAAACTTTCCGGGGATGATTCCGGGGCGAGAACAGGAGCCGAGAACTCCGGAGGCAGCGCCATGTCCAGAAGCGCTAAGTCAGTGGCGGCCGGCAGGCCTGAGTCAGCGGCGGCCGGCGGGCTTGTTGGAGAGCTGGTTCTGGATCGGGGCCGGACACTCTCCAGACACCGGAGGATCCCATCCCTCCAGATTAGTCCAGTGGTATCTGGGAGGTCCAGGGGCGTTGGTAATTAGCCCCGATCCAGAACAAAGAGTTGAGCGTCGCATCATCCAGCGCCGTATACATGGCGAGACCGCAGAACTCCCGTGCATAATCCTCAAACGGGAGATCTCTGCAGGCTAGGGCCGAAAATCATGGCCGTATACACGGTGAGCCCGCAGAACTCCCGTGCATAATCCTCAAACGGGAGATCTCTGCGGGCTAGGGACGAAAATAGTGCAGCGGTTTCTATTGCCGCCAGGGAAAACAGAAAAACAAAAAACTTTTTTAAAAACGGAAAAGAAACACGGGGAGGAAAGGCACCACTCACTTTATGTCGGTCTGGAATTCTGTCACGGAACTGCTGCTGTGTAGGAGCGCAGAGCAAAGGAGCGAGGAGACGTAGGAGAATTTGACTAATTTTAATAGTCAAAAGGAAACAGAAAAACAAGGTTGACATGAACAATTCCAGACAAGGGAGAACAGAACGGGCTCGAACTCAAATAGGGCAGATAACGAGGGGCAGACAAGTGATGAGGATAACTAATAACAAGGAACAGGTGATTACTAATAATGGGAAAAGGAACTGGAAGGACCAAATAAGGACAAACAGGAACTAAACAGGAACACACACGTGACAGCTGTAGAATCTACATTTGTTATTGTATTTCTGATGTTATCTATTTTATCAGTGAAGAAATTCATAAAGTCATTACTATTAAACTGTGAGGGAATATTTAGACCGGGTGGCGTCTGATTATTAGTTAATCTAGCCACTGTGCTAAATAAAAACATTGGATTGTTTTGGTTATTTTCTATGAGTTTGTGGATATGCTCAGCCCTGGCACCTTTTAGAGCCTGTCTATAGCTGGACATACTGTTTTTCCATGCAATTCTAAAAACATCCAAGTTAGTTTTTCTCCATTTGCGCTCAAGATTACGAGTTTCTTTCTTGAGAGAATGGGTATTACTGTTGTACCATTGCACAGTACATTTTTCTCTAACCTTTTTTAATTTGATGGGGGCAACAGTTTCTAATGTATTAGAGAAGATAGTATTATTTATATACTATAATATAGCAGTAATTTTTATTTTTTTTTATATTTACTTTGAATTCATTTTTATTTTAGCTTTAGTTTTAGATATTTTGGTTCTTCAACTTAAACTTATACTTAAACATTTTGAGTTTTAGTTTTTTAGATTTTTTATCTAATATTTAGATTTTAATTTCAATTAACAATCAAAAAATGAACAGTTTTTGTTAACAATATCAATACTGACTCTCACTTGTTCTCTCTTTTTCAGTTTAAGCGCTCAGCTCTGCATAAAGCCAGTGCCCAAGGTCACATAGAGATCATGCAGAAGCTCCTGGAGAGTGGAGCATCCATGGATCAAAAAGACAAGGTAGCACAGATGGTGGATATGACTGTTACACCAGTGCTGCAAGAATATTATCTCACATTTATTTTTTATTATAATTCTGATATGCAATTTCTTTATCACATGTTCATAGCTGGATGCCACAGCTGTGCACTGGGCATGTAGAGGTGGAAGCCTGCCTGCCCTGGAGCTGCTTCTCAATAAAGGAGCCAAATTCAACTCCAGAGACAAGGTAGATAGAAAGATTCTGCAAACATATGTCACCAGATGGATCTTTGGACAGTGATAATAACATTCACAAATCATTCTCATGCTGTTCATACTAAAGTTTTTGTAGCAAACAATGATGAAGCAATTTTTATCCTTGTTCTTCAAGTTTTCAGTGTGCCTCTTGCAGCACTGTAGTTTACACCCTTAGCACAAAAAGTACTAACCAAAACTCTTGTTGTGTATCTTCAGCTATGCAGCACACCCCTCCATGTTGCAGTTCGGACGGGACATTACGAATGTGCTGAGCATCTCATTCACTGTGGAGCTGATGTAAATGCGAAAGACAGGGTAAGAATTATTTTGCGCTCTTTTCAAATATTTTCCAAAGCATTCAGAATTTTTAATATGGTAACTTTCTTATAATATATTATTGGATATATAATTTATAGTAATCTAATTTTAAATTGACAATTTTTGTGCATTTTTGAACAGCAAATTTAAGATATAATGCATTTTCCCACATTTAGTTCTTCTTCTCTAATGCCAATGCATTTTGTTTGTGTAGGAAGGAGACACACCAATGCACGACGCAGTGAGGATAAACAGATTTAAAATGATAAAACTGCTGATGATGTATGGAGCCAGTCTAAATGCCAAAAACAATGTAAGTTCAATTAGAGAACATACGTTGAAGTTTACATGGTGCCCTCTAGAGACAGATTGAGGCACTACAGAATTCTTTACTGACTCTCCACAATATCAAAAATATGATAAGCAAAAAGATTTAGAATGCTTGATTCTTTTATAACTAAGTAACAATGCTAATAGCCAGTGCAAAAAGAATTGTCTCATACCGTGTTTCTCAGTCTTAGTTAGTAAATCTGTTTAAATGGGTATATTTTAGTGGATATATCCTAAAATTATCTGTTATTTACAGGATGGAAAGACACCAATGGAGACTTTGCTTTCATGGCAAAAAGGTGTGAAAAACATCCTGAATAATTTTAATGAAGAAGAAGCACCAAATCCAAATGTACAACTTTTCAACATCCATCTCAATGCTGAAGTGTTATAAAATGCTTTTTCTTTCTTTCTTTCTTTCTTTCTTTCATATTAAATGTTAAATTTAACAGTACTTCGCAATATTCGTAATGATGACGCTAATTGCTGGTGATAGAGTGTCTGAAATATTGATGAGGTTATTTGTAAATATTGTTTTCTTACTTGTCTCATTTGATTTTGCGAGCAAAGAATCTTCGGTGGGTGGCGCAAGGCATGAACATGTGTGAGTGGTTGTATGTTTGTTTTAAAAATGTCCATGGCAGTTTGAGCTACTGGAAAAAATGTCGACAGATTGGAGTCAGAAGTACAAGTGTTCAGAAATGGAACAGAATGTGAATGCTGGTCTGAGAATGTTTATTATGATGGATATTATTGTAATTGTTACGTAATTATGGACTGGATTTGTGAAAGACTTTAGCACTGGGTACATGGACATCCCTTATGAAATGTGCATTGGTATATGTGTTTTGTAAATCTTTCTTTTAAACCCTTAAATGTAATTATTGTGAATCACTTGAAACGTGAATACAGTGTTTTGGTATGAGCCACCAAGTGTTTCCTGACAGTTTTATGTGACTTCTTTATATTAGACATATTCTTTTATATATATATATATATATATATATATATATATATATACACACACACACACACACACACACACACACACACACACATATATATATATATTAATGAGAAAAATATGGACAGTAAACCTATAAACTTAAATCTGTTTATTGTTAAGTTTTACATTCTTTATATACACAAACTGTAAATGCCACTTTAATGTCTCCAAGCAAGAACTGAGTTTGTATTTAGGCCTCAACGTCTATTAAGAATAAAGATATCTAGACAAGAATAGCTATATCATGATTGACATTCCTTCTTGTTTTGCAGAGCTTCTTCGTTTTTTTAATTTAATTTTATTCTATTAGGGTAAATTTCTATCTTCTTGTTCGCTTATTATCTTTTATTACTTGCTAATGGAATTACTTTGCAATGTGCTTTGGTTTGGTATTTTAATGTAGGAATAATTGTATGTTGTTATTATTTAGCCTATTCTTGTATTTTGTGCATTATCTAGAAAAACGTATTTCTACGAATTACACTTAAAACACAACTTAAGAAATGAAATAACAAATCGAAAAAGCACACCAAACAACTGTGTACAAACCATAGTCTGTATAGGTACAAACAAGCGCCAATCTAGTTATGAGACATGCGCAGTCCACCTTCTGCGCATATGTAACGTCTCTGTGACGTGCACGAGCACGCGCTCCCAGCATCCTTTGCGGTTGCTCTCGCTTATCCGATTGGTGGAATTTGAAAATAAGTACGAGCGACAGTTTGGAAGATGAGGCAAGACGAATAAACACAGCCGCCGAGTTAAAAACAAAATAATACACATTACCCACTCGCAGTCCTGTAAGTCAACCAAGTTAACTTGTTTTAATGAGCGTGTTTTGCTGTCCTGTTCTTATTTGTGAGTTTGTCAGTTCGGGTGGTTGTTAATGTCATTTTTTTGTGTGTCAGATTGACTTATAAAATATGTAAAATTGTGTAATTGTCTGTTAAAATGAACATAAGATTATAAAGTCCTGTATAATTACCATCAGATGTGATTAAAGGGTTGTCATCGTTATTCTCGGTAAACCAGAGGCTGTTATTTCGTCCTGCTCTTTTACGTTATGTCTTCTCATATGGTTTTTTAGAGCAGTATGATGGAATCAGGGCTAAAGGATGATATGGCAAGACCGGAGATGATAGCTGCGGAAGATTTAAGAAGAAATCTGTCCTCAGATTTCAGCGAGTGTTCAGATTTGCAGGTAAGATGACAGCCGGTGTTCTGACGATTTGTGCTACCCTGTCAGATTTTGCTACCTCCCATTAAAACAGTTAAAACCGTTAGCATAATTCGATAGCGAAAAGTGCTACCTATCAGATTTGGCTTCCAGCATGATATTAATAAGGTGTGAGGCTTTATTAACATGTACACCTACCCCAACCCTAAACCTACCCTTACAGTAGGATAAATACAGTGTTGCTAGCATAATCTGATAGGTAGCATTATTTGTCAGAACACCGGCCATGAACAATAATACAGGATAAAGTGTTATTTTTACATTGTGATTAATGAAACCATCAACAGAAATGGTTTGAGCCTTGATGTTTTTTTTTGAAGGACCAGTCTGACCTGGAGAAGGAACATTTGAAGGTGTATCTTAGGATAAGACCATTTTCATCAGCTGAGGTTGAGAATGGAGAATCACAGGTGAAAATAAGGAATAAATGGTTCAGGGATACTGCACACATTAAAGCACCCTAAAATGCAGACCCTCATGTTGAATTTTTTTATAGGGTTAGGAAAAATATTTTAAAGGGAAAAAGCCCCTGAAAATCTGTTTCAAACATTGCCTCTAAATAAAATGATTAGTCTGTGCCTTCTCTCTGTTTTTGAAGGACTGTGTGGCCATTCAGCCTCCAGAGACTGTGCTCTTCAAAGCTCCACAATCATCTCTTTCTGCCAGGCTCAGTGATAAATCAGTGCCAGTTACAGCTCAACGTTTCCAGTTCTCTCAGGCAAGCAGACCCATCAGCACAAACTATCTAGATTGTGACTGATTATGTTTTCCCTATTTAACCATCCTGAAGAATCTTCAAATTTGTCTTTGGAAATACTGTTTGAGGTCAAATGTTGTGCTCTGTCTTGAGTCATGCACATAACTTGGTTTTGTCTGACAGATTATTCACAAGGTGATATCAACATTGTGGTATTTTTAGGTTTATGGTCCAGACACTACCCAGAAGGAGATGTTTGATGGCACAGTGAAGGGTCTTGTGAGGGATGTGCTAGAGGGACAAAACTCTCTGGTCTTTACATATGGTATCACCAATGCTGGGAAGACCTTCACTTTTTTAGGTTTGTATATTTTGTTTTTATTGTTCTTATTGTATTGATAGACTGAATTATTTTCTGTAATTGACATAATGCCACAAATGTTGTCAATAGAGCTTAAAAGTCAACGTGTTATTGCTCCACAAGACCACAACCCATTTTAATTTGAGCAAGAAGCAAAAGTTGTTTCCGAAGCACAAAGAGTTATGCTCCATGCTATTGCTGAGGAACGACAACACAGAAACATGTCGAAAAGGTTAACTTTAACCACGAAACCAGATCGGCCGACCTGTAACGTTACACTCTAACTCAAAGGATGGACGATCTGACAGGATTGTTACTATGAGGTGGATCACATCTAACGTGTATAGTAAAGACAAACTCACCGTGTCCATCAAGTCATGATGAAGATGTATATACATTTCAATTTCAGCAGGCAACTATTTTTACAGCTACATTATTGTTCCAGCCACAATTAATCACAACAATGTATATACAATTACAAATGATTATATATATAAATCGTCAGTTTGTTGTTTTACACACATGCACACAGACATTTCATACACGACATAGTCGTGAGATGCAAGAAACATAGACATATGGCAAGAAATCGGTAGACGTGCCCATAACAACAAAAGACAATACTTTATTGAACCTTCAATACCTTTATTGAAAGTGTGCGCTGCAAACGCGAGCATTTTTGACAATCATTTCTGTCCAGTCCGCACGTTTTATCGCGTTTAACCACAGATGTCGTCGATTTTTTTTGTCTGGCAGTGGCAGCAGATATTTTTAATATCAAATTTCTAATTTGAGGCTGTATTACGTCGATTCTGGCACCCAACATCACAAAATATTTTAAGCTCCTTATGTAGCCGAATCTGCGCTGGTTTGAATGGGCCGCCTCCAGTTTCCCCTTTGTTTTGCTGCCTCCAGCTAGTGATGTGACGGCCCTAGTTACCTGTGGTTGGCCTGGCCGTGCATCACTCAGAACAGAACAGGCCAATCAGAAGAGAGGCTCATGAATATTAATTAGACAGGCCAAAATTGATCTGTTCTCAGCAGAGCTCCTGAGAGAGGTGCTGTAAAAATATATTAAGATGGTTTTTGGTACTTATACCGCAAATATATATTCTTAAGGACATCAAAACCTAAAATAAAACTCACGAAAGGTGTACAATATGTGACCTTTAATTGAATGGAGGCAGATCTGAATGCGTGTTGTGACATTTTGAATAATACTTACAAGGTCAAAAAATGTATCAACACAGCATGCATGAAGGAATCATTAATAATAAGATGATGCATTTACAAAATACAAAGCTTGAATTTCTGTACTGTGCTGACTTTAAAGGGGTCATATGATGCTTTTTTTAAAGATCATTATAGCGTCTCGTTGACATGGTTGCTTCAACACTAACTGCGGTTACTGAAACCACACCTTTCTTTGCGTGCACATTTGGGCGCATTATGCTAATATTTCCACATAGTGAGGTAGATATGTGGGGGCGTGTTAGAACGAGCCGTTTTAGGGGGGCGTGGCAGAGTCTTAACTTTGATAAAGAATATCTCTTTGGTTTTGAGACTTTAGTCTTTGCAACTTCAGGGATCTTATCTATGCACAATCAGCTTGTAACACTCCAAAGAGAAAGGAAAACTTGAAATCGCATAATATGACCCCTTTAACAGTGATTAGCTTTTGGAAAATATTGAAATTCAAGAATTATGTCCTGATGGTGTTTTGATGTGTTAGGTCCGGATACTGATCCAGGCATCTTGCCTCGTTCCCTCAACATGATCTTCAGTAGTCTGGATGGTCGCATCTTCACCCAGATGTGCCTAAAACCCCAGAGGTGCCGGGATTTCATCCGGCTCACCAAAGATCAGCAAAATGAGGAAGCAGTTGGCAAACGCAACCTGCTAAAGCTTTTTAAAGAGGTACTGTATGTCCAGAGCTGGGTTGATTACTTACAAATTGTAGTCCGTTACTGATTCCAAATTACATGACAAAATTTGTAGTTAGTAACATTAAACATTTAAGGTAATATAATCAGACTACTTTTAGATTACTTTTGACCTATCTCGTTTTTTTACGTTTGATTTAAATATGTACCATATATTATATTACGTCAAGGTTATCCAAACTGGGTTTGTGAAGGAACTGCAGGGGGTTTATGAATTTAATAAAAAGCTAATAATTTATTAAATCATAAAAAATGTTAAATTAAAACATTGTTTTAAAATGAATCAAAATAAAACACTTATTGAAAAAAAATGAAATTTGTTTACCTACATGTCATGTGACCATAACCAAGGTCAGAGAGCCATTAACATGCAAATGTGATACTTTATTATTAAAATATTTATTTTAAAATCTCAGGGGTACTTCAAATAAAAATATAATAGTTGAAAGAGGATCAGATGACAAACATTTTTTAAATTTGTGCATTTTAATGTGTTTGAAAGGCAAACGCCTTCCAAAGTAATACATGGTAAAATAACCAACAGCGTGATCATTCAAATAAAAATTTGATGTAATGTTGAAACACTTCTTAAACCTGAAATGATTTTTGTAAATCCAGAGGTCAAATGCAGTGTAGCCACCTGACTAATGACTGATCTCTGTGAATGCCCACAAAACTGTACGACTTTCTGAATGTATATAAGCGGTAGGCCATTTTATAAAGGAAAATTGAAAAGATGAAAAAGAGGAATTAGGTAGAATGTAATTTAATCTAATTACAAGTAT